ATCTTCAGCCCGAATCCGAGTTCGCGCTATTTGATTCCCATTTCTATTCGGAATACTACACTATCTCAAATATGCATCGATAGGGATGCTTACTGACATACCCGATGATCACTTGATGGATGGGCTCACCTGCCGCAAGGTAGCTTAACTAATAGAGTATTCAGGTTGATGACCACGGCTACGACCAGAATGATTGCCACTAACCCCAGACCTGGGCCACAGCCTATAGATGCTTTCATTGTATGACAAAAGTATGCGATGGTGCTGCCTACTTCCGGCTGTGTAGTGATTCAGGAGAAGTTTTCTGCCCATTAATCACATGATAAATTCATTAAACTCAATTACCATCTCACGCACCGTGCTGGTCTTGGCCGTGTTATGCACCCTTGTAATTGATACAGCGCAGCAAGTGTTGCGATTGAAAGTGGACGCCATCTTCTATTCGACGGATTCCATGAATGTGCTACCAATGGACAGCAGGCTTTCATGAGGAACCATGCTCTGGAGAAGACGATTTAGTTCTGTGTGTCATCTTGAGGGAAAGCACAAGCAGATTTCGACGGGATATTAGGAATTTATACTTGCTTGGATGTGAATGTGTTAGGACGGAGCGTACAAAATCCGTCCTGCCATGCAGCGACCCGCGTCACACCACAAGTTCGCTCGTGACGTCCAAGCCGAATCGACTCCTGATTGGATGACTAAGGCGAATCAAATAGCTGTCGTCCGATCGATCAGCCTGAATGTCAAGGTCACGACCTGATTGGCGCATCACCACGTCTGTTCGCGTACGCCCAATTGACCACATATGCTTGTTGTTTCTTGATCAAGAATACACACTGACTGCCGTTTCTCAACAGTGTTCTTTCTCCAGTTGTTGAGGCCTAGACAAAGAGGCGCACGTATCGATCAAATCGTCTTGACATATCACGTAACAGAATGCATAAGTGGTTAGGAGCGGAATATCTCAAGCCGGAGAGGGTAACGATAGCCATCTAGGATCTTGTCATGATAGCATTGTCTGCCAAAGGCTAGCCAACTTCGCTGTGGTGAAATTAATGCACTACTCACGTGTCTGCCCGTCCCCCTCTTATCCGTGCTCCCTCTCACTGACTCGTTATGTAACCCAGCTCACAATCAACGTAACACTGCTTACCATTCATGCGACTATATGTACATTATGACAACGCTTGCGAATGCTCGAGCGAGTAATCAGAGCTAACATTCACGCTAAGTGCTATCCACGGAGCTCAGAGGCCCCAGGTATTATTTTGAGGCATACTGGAGCGTCTGCCTCTCCTCTCTACGTTGAACTTCATACGGAGCTTGTCTTTAGGTGACACCATGTGAGTGTGTGTGTGTGTGTGTGTGTGGGTACTGTTAATTCTATTAGGAAGCGTATGCTCATCAAAACCTTGAGTTGCAAACAGTCATTGGTTTGTTCTTTTTTGTTCAACCGCTACCGTTATGTCAGCTTTCCAAAATTTAATCTGCCAGACTATAAGTGTTCAAGTCTACTGAAATTCCCATGTCCTAGTTAGTTAGAATACGGAATTGCGTGCATGCAATACGATTATCAAAGCCCTATCAATGATTCGTTGTTTCATTGAAGGCTGTGGCGCTTCGTGAATGCACGTTGATCTCGAACGAACTACTTAAACATGGTTTCGTTCTGCAACCGCGCAGATAAACATCGATTTTTTCTACCAAATGAATGGAACACACTTCTGACACAAACCAACACTCCAACTCACCAACTCACAAAAACCATTCATCTTCGATACACTTTTCAATGATCCCAGTTTCTGATACCCAAATAAAACAAACGCAGTAAACGCTAAAGTTCGAAATACGAAAATATTTTTACTGTATTAACACTTAATTACACAAAATATTGCGAAGATGTGCGTTCTGGAGCTGATTTCAGCTATTTGCTTTCTTCATTTTTTCATGGCATACATTTGAGTCCAGGAAGATGCCTTTTCGAAGTATGCTTCTTCACTCATTTTGAACTCTTCGGCGGGGGTTTTGTATGAGCCGTGTGGAGTAGGTCTACTAAGTAATGTGTGGAGCGATATCAGAACTGCAAGGAAAGTGACGGGGAATAAAAGTAAACCGGGGACCAAGTGCACATACGATTAATGACACTAATACTTGGAACCCATTTTCCATAAAGAATATCCATACACACATTTGGTTTACGGATATTCACATGTAATATCTCCGTGTTCCAGATTACCTTAATGGCGAGAGATAGAGAAGTAACAGAGAATAACATGGATCACGTGAAACTGAGTACCTTAGGTGGTTTCAAGGGATATCCGGTCTTGAAATCAATATTGAAGTGAAATGTTCCACCTGCGTACGGTGTACCTTCCTGAGAGAAATCACTTTCGTGTGTGCTATGAATCGCACTTACCGGTCCGATTATTGTTCCTTCCCAAAATAATACTTCAATAAATTAACAGTAATTGAGGGTGCAGTTGCACAAAAGTCGATGTGAATACACTTACTGTCACCGTTTTTCGGTTTCGCTTGGCATCCAACCAGAGGATTTTTCACCAACATTTCAAACTCCTTGGCCAATCGTTGGCAAGCCACAGGGTTTGTATTTTGTGAAGCCTAAAGAGTAAGTGAGAAAACATTTGATTTTGAACAACGACAATTAATTCCACAAATAAAAATATGATTAAGTTGGTATGGATGAATCAAGTGAACCAAAGAATGACTATGGTGAGCAATATGTTGCCATATCCGTCCCACTCATTTGGCAATGTCGTTTCTGTAGTTTAGTCTGTTATTTTCCGACGAGGAGTAATGCAGAGATCGTTGTGTTCTGTGGATCTCAATGGATCAGAATAGTACATAAAGTAGTACATGTGTTGACTGACATTATGTTTGAGAGACTGCTTGTAACTATGCAACCATCGGCACTACCAGTGGAAAGACATATACCAAACCGTCCAGCTCAGTTTGAATGACATTGAGTAGCGTCCGAAAGGAGTATATATGATAGCTCATGCAACGTGGACGTAAAGAATACCGCTGCAGTCGATCCCGGGTAGCCTGATTGTAACGTGCGGGATTAGCAATTCCGCCAACCTGGTTTTGAGTCATCACAACGTCGGTGGTTATGCACCGTCAATGTTATATCTGACAGGAACGGTCTTCCGGGGCTGTCATACATAATAAGCACATATTCCGTTGTCTGTGGGAGATCACGATGACTGAACTCGAACACAGAACTTGTGCCCCACCAAATTGCAAATGCATTTTGATTAAGTAAAATCCGACGAAACATGCCTCTTTGGATATCATTGTCAGAGAACCAAGTAAGAGGCAAGCAAGCGCGAGATAAAGAATACTTCGCATGAAAGTTTAAAATTCGCTCCGATACGTGAATAATATTCTTGGGTATACATTGACATGGTCTTCCAATCAAATACAAAGAACCGTTGATTGCGACTTGCGTTTTCACATGGTTGCAATCCCCTTGGGTGGTGAGAAAATAGGTTGTTCTGCCGCGTAGGATTCGATAACCAATATGGTTCCGTGACGGGAACGATGGAGACTGACTAAATCTTTTTCTTCTTCATTTTTACTTCCTTTTTTATTGAATACCCAGTGATACAATGTTTCGGAAAGGGAAAGCGGCCAATCAGAGGGCTGCTTTGCAATACACAAATGGGGAGTCAGGCGATGGTGGTGGGATTCAAACATCCGTCTTCTGGGGTGATAATTTGCTGACGTTACCACCGGGCCACCACCACCTAAATGTTGGTTCTCAAATCATTCGTGTTTCCATATTGGACGTGAACCCAAGTGAACGTTTGGAGTCTTGTGCTCTTCCAGATAACTGGGCGAAAGCTGATTTAAAGAAAATATCCCACGTAATCGGGTACAACGAGTTTAATTTTCATCCGTGATTAGTGTTCGGTTATCGAACACAGTTCAAAATCAGATCGCAAACATTTAATCACCACTCGAAGTGACATTATGAAATATGGTGGGGACGCAATATTCCGTGTGATAAATTCAACTACATTCGTATCAGTCCCCGGCAATGAGGAATGTCTGAAGAGGTTCATACCGTTTCTCCGTCGACCCACTGAAACAAGATTGGTGAGGGACCAGATGCGTAAGAGCGATTTGCAACAGGTAACATTAATTGACCCAAATCCTTGCCGGACGAAGTGACGGCTGAGGCTTGAAGAAACAATAGTCCTGCGTTGTTTGGGCTTCCATCCAAGTTTCCCATAGCGTTTATCACCTTGGATCGTAGCATCTCACCGTTCCTCTTGACAATATATTCTGTTACCTCCCGAATGTGAACCGCTGCCCTGGAAAACTTCCAAACACTATGATGCCATCGGTGGTATTGTCAAAATCAATCACACTGAAGCATTAGTTGTCTGCGTAAACGGTTATCGCTGAGAACAATCATAGCTGGTCGCGAATTTCACCGGGCAACCCAGAACCGCTTGGAGCTGTAAACTGGGTGACAGCCAGACCAGCACGACACAGTAATGCAATATATTCCATTTATAGTGTTCCGTGTAAAGACAGAAATCCGATCAAATGAGTCAACAGCTGACTGTGCTGTAGACGAATTTACACCTACACGGAAACTTAACCGCCCGTACATACAAACACACACGCACTACGAACGCACACACACACGCAAATCCACACATACAAATGAATACCAATGAGCGTGGATCGGCATTATTGGAATTCCCTGTATTCAATTTCGATTGGTTCTCGCACGCACTCCCGTGCGGACTTAAGCTGCTCATTTATGTGCTATCCGTGATCTTCGACGTGATGGCAACTGAAAGTGGCAAATCACAGCATGAGAAACCAAGAGCGAAGGGCAGATAGAGCGAGAGTGAATAATAGTCTTCTGTACTGATATGCCTGCCTACATACCACTGTGAATGAATCGGTTGGGTGTGTTTGTAAGGGTGCATGTGCGCTGGCACATTTTCAATGTTGGTACCGTGGGCTTCCTTCTATTTGGATTGATTAATAAGCGGTTCGTTGGAGTGATAATTTCCCAGCTAACCGGATCTTTTTTCTCTTTCACAATGCTCAGGTGACGTAAATCAAAGGACGCTGGTAGCGGAGTATGTTTGGTCCCACAGAAATAAGAATGGCCACATAAGTTGATAAATTTCACTTTACCTCTTGCATACAAGCCCGTTGAGACCAGTAGTTAGCCTCCGAATGCTAGGCGTTTTCCTGAAACAAATGATCAATTTCGCGGACGGTTCCATCGTTCTCCTTGTCTTGTAGGTGAATTTCGAAATCGGTCATTCTTAAAAAGTATATTGAAATTGCTCACCTGGGACACCAGTAAAGCCTTGTGTCTGTTCTGGATACAGAAGGAACAATGTTTCTAGTCGAATAATGTCACGTGACGAAAGAAATGCTGATATATTAGGAAAAAAACAGCTAGCATTTCAATACTACACGTATCACGTCGGGAACTGTTTGGCTACATTTTAAATACACCTTCTCCCGTCAGGATTCATCCGAAACCTACAGTTCTCAGACCAAAACCGACAACGTTTTAGTCCCGACCCACAATTATTTTGATATGGCCCATGGTCTGTTGACCTCAACGCACAAACATAAGCCATACAAGTGTGAATGAGTAAAAAACTATCGCAATATTCAGAGTTGGACGAATGCTGAAAAGTTTTATTTCCTAAAAACGTTGGTATTGAAAAGTATGGTGAACAGATAAGAAGGGGCGACGATCGTTTGCTGTAATGGACCGTAATGGTCTCGAAGGCTACACCGCAATTTGATTAGAGAAGATGCTCTCGTATCGTCAAATCATTTGACACATCCTGTGTGTATAGAGTATTTTCAGCGAATCACATTTGAATTTACCCAAAGTCAAACTAATTAAAGCATTTTAAAGGTTTGCATGTTTGAATGTACGGAACACCTGTCTTAGTGGGTTAAAAGGGGCTGCATAGTAGGAAAAAGCGAATTTGGTGTTTGGTATCTAATTGTACATCGAAAGGCGTCCGATGGGCGGATGAACTGTCAAAGATAAAAACTACTACTACAGTAGTGATAGATGAGGAACAGCTTGATAGAAACCGATTGCTGTGGTTTACAGTCAAGTAACATGTTTACCGTACTGCGGGCTACAACGCCCATTACCATAAATATACCACGTAATCTTTGTGTCACTGATACGTCAAGATGCTGGTGATAGATGAACATGCTCATTTGTTCGCGTTCGGTCCTTTGTTAGACAGGGGGATTTCGCAGTGCTACCCTTGAAGGTTTTGTTTGTTTCGTAAATACGTAAACTTACCGGTTCACTGCACCCAATAGACGTATTCTGCTAATTTGGATTGATTGGATATTTTTCACTGGCTAAGTGATCATTATATTAACCGAATAGTGACGTCCATTCAGCTGTGTTATCGATGGATGTTTTCCTGATCAGTGTGCCTGGAAAGTTCATTTGCAAATCCTCCGCTAACTTTTTTCGTGTGCTTTTGGGGTTTTCGTCAACCATATATAATACAAATGCTTGATAAACTCCCATGTAAAATCGTCTTACAAGATCCAAGTTCGAGAGTTATTTCAAGATTCGTTGCTACAATGGCTAGGCAGGTTCGTAATTTAACTTCGAAATGTTTGACAACATCTTTTAAATCATCATCTTCACGTGTAGATTTATTCACCGTTTTGCGCTGTTGTAACTGCTGAATCTCTTCTATCCGTCTATATGAACCTTAACTATACCGCCTGCGCGTAAAAAACAAGTAGCCTATAACGAATATTGGGGCACACATTCACTGTGTATTTGTATTTCCCCCTTCCTAACGAATCCGATATCGTATAATGAAAAGTAAACGGAACAATAAATGCAAAACGCTCCTTTGTGTAACAGAAACGGTATATTCGTATGTATTTTCAACGCAAAACAGAAATGAAGTAGCGAGAATAATGGCGGACAATTTCTTAGCTCCATTTAATGAGAAATTCGTATCAAGATTTGTGTAACTTGACTGTCCGAGGATAAAGAACAGAGTTGATGCCTGTACGGTCCCGTTACTGTTATCCATCTATTAATGTTGTAACATTGAACATCTACACTGCTTTCGTCTAACGGCTACATGGTGTTCCAGTTCAACGGTAAAGTTGACCAAAATTTACCACATATCTGTGAGCTAGCGTTGGCGTGGTTCGGTAAAAATAACAGGTCCTCTTGGATCACCTGCGTTGAGTTGGATCATGCACTAGTTCTGATATGCTTCACTCTTCGACTCATCAATCATCGGTAGAAATCAAATCCTCAATTAGCTCATCATCTTCACGATCCATCTATCTGCGCACTTTATGAGGAGAAGCCGGGACGGGAGCTAGGAGAACCATGAGATGATGAATTATACCAACAGTGGGATCAAATCCGATACGCGATGCACTCAGCAAGAAACTTTGCTGGTGGAACCAGCCCGAACTTCGCCGAAGACATTGGATCTCTCAGGAGTCAGTGTTCCTGATGGAAAAAACCAAAGAACCCTTATCTGCCAAAATCAGCATAACGACCGGTGGTGACCGGAAACGTCAAGTCAGGAAAAGCTTTGAGAAGGATCACGAAAACTGGTGAGCCAAAATAGCTAGTGAAATGGAGGTGGCTTCTACATCAGGGCATAGTCAGAGACTGTTTCACCTGATATGCAGCACCGAGGGTTGACGCGTATCGGTCAGTCAGACCGTTTGTGATAAAAGTGGTCAGAGTATCCACAATAAAGAAGAACGACTTGATCGCTGGACATAATATTTTAGTGAACAGTTCAACCGGCGATTACGGCGGAAACTACATGGGTGGTAAAATGTGAGCCTCCAAAAGTACAAAGCTGTATTCAGCAGGTAAAGAAAGGGGAGCTTTGCGGAACATGACGGGCTTCTCCCCTTTTCTTCATAAGCTGGGTGGTGACTCTCATCGACTCAATCACCGGATTACTTCGCAGCCTTTGGTCAGAGGAGCCTGCCCCTTTATCCTGGGGTGAATCGTTGATCGCCTCGATCTTCAAGAAAGGATCACGCAACGACTGTCCCATCCACCGCGGGATTAGCTTAGTTCCGATCATCACAACAGTGTTGACTTCTGTTATACTTCACCACCTGTTACCCTTAAGGGAGATGAATATCCGCGAACATCAAGCAGGATTCCGACCAGGCCGCGGTTGCGTCGACCGAATCTTTACTTTGCGTCAAGTCCTCGAATTACATCACACACATCGTCGACCAACAATCGTAGTGTTCCGTGACCAAAAAAGGAGCCTTCTTTTCAGTTTACTGTGAAGCAATTAAGGGGCCTGGGGTTTTCCTCGCTTACGAGATGAAGCAAACTACGGGGCAAAATGTTACAGTTTATGGACAACTGTGATGAGTGAAGCTTCCCAGATAGCGCCAGGTAGGCGCCTAAGCGTTACAGCTTCTGGAAAACGAACCAATGGCCGATTGTGCCGAACTACTTGAAGCTGTGCGGCCCAGACAGGAGCTGTAAGAAGTCAAGAATACGAGCAAGCGATTGGTGAATATCTGGATAACCAATAAACTTGTTTTGTACATGTTATTAAACCCACTTGATTTCTTCCAATAAACAATCTACTACTTCTGCGCCCTCGCCTTGCGTCTCGGTTAAGAGGAATTAAGTTGTACAAGTGCCAGTGTGTTTAATTAATTACGTGGCACCCGTGATTCCTGACACATAATTCGTAATCCGTAATCTGTGCGTACCTCAACGATTACAATTATTCACTCTGTGTGATGACCACTTAGATTAACTTTTCTTGCCCTCCACCCCACCCCACCCCACCCCACCCCCTCAATCCAATAAGGCCCAGTCCCTCTCCATCGTGTGCTTGATCACTTGATTTGTGTACATTGAGGGTTTTGCAGCGATCAGGGAAGTTCGCTTCACTGTATCTCGCTGTTCGATGATGAAGATGATGGTGTTGATCATTGAACATTATTATTATCAGCTATGCAGTATGCGATTGTCACAGCGCCTTCGTTTTCACTAAACGTTCTAACGTCAACTTTTTTGAAAAATATAATTTCCTAGCATTCGTTGCCTTCAGGTTATTCCGATGCATTTCCATTTGAATCTTTACCGGAGACGTGGCTTTAGTTTGTGCGTCGAGGCCAAAGGACTATGGATCGTAGTTGGACAACGATGAGTCAAAGCTAAAGAATTATGGGTCGAGGATAAAATACTATGGATTCCAGGTAAAGAGATGTGGGACG